TAAGATTTCACTCCAACTTTCTTTTCTATTAAGTTCAAATACCATTAAACAATGCTTCATTTCAGTAGCATCAGTATTACAGATCAAATATTTATTTATTTGGCCTTATTTTATTTTTTGAGATAAGGTCTCATGATGTAGACCAGGTTGGCCTCGAACTCACAGAGTTAAATGTATGTATCACTATACCTGATTTACATTTGTTTATTTATTTATTTTTGGGTTTTTTTTCGAGACAGGGTTTCTGTGTATTGTTTTGGAGGCTGTCCTGGTATGTATGTGTGTATTTGTTCAGACTGCAGTGCCTGTGGAGTTGGAAACAACTTTCAAAGGTCAATTTTCCCCTTTAACCATGTAAGTTCTAGGGATCATCAGACTTGGCAGCAAGCACCTTTACCTGCTGAGCCATATCACTGGCCCATGGTGGATACTTCTATATCTGTTACTTTTCCTCCTGTCTGTAAACAGCCACATAAACCTTTCTAGAATAATGTACAGCAATGCTTGTGCTGGTGGTTTCTTGATGGTGACACTGGGACTATTTAAACTTAACTGTACTGTTTAAATTATTTAAAGTGTATGTATATAATTAAAAAATAATAATAATAGCCAGGTGTTGGTGGTGCACGCCTTTAATCCCAGCACTGGGGAGGCAGAGGCAGGTGGATCTCTGTGAGTTCAAGGCCAGCCTGGTCTACAGAGCGAATTCCAGGACAGCCTCCAAAACAATACAGAGAAACCCTGTCTTGGAAAACAACAACAACAACAAATCAATAAACATTTATTTGATACAGTAATTTTAATACATACAATTGATGGCCCACCACCGTACCACTCCTGGCCAGGGGATGAGGATGGGGACAGATAATCACAAGGCGGGCAGGATCCAAGCTCACCTCAAAACATCTTGCAAATAAAACACTTAGTAGATAGAATATATATGCATGGCCGGGCGTTGGTGGCACACGCCTTTAATCCCAGCACTCAGGAGGCAGAGGCAGGTGGATCTCTGTGAGTTCGAGGCCAGCCTGGTCTACAGAGCAAGTTCCAGGACAGCCTCCAAAATACAGAGAAACCCTATCTCAAAAAACCAAAAAAAAAGAATATATATGCATGTATATCTATGGTTACAAGTGATAGCCACTTGTGTAATGAGAACTGCATTAAAACCAAACCAAGGAACCCACGGTTTAGGAGGCACTGCAGTCTGGTGTGAGAGGTGACCTGGGAACCAGGTCTCGGGGCAAAAGGCCCTGTTCCACCCAACAAGGGAACACAGAAACAACTTCCCTCAGAACCACCATAGGGACAGGAAGTCCCCAAAGGCCCCAGGAGGCACCAATATCTGCCTGTGCAGGAACACAAAGTGCACTCTGGTTGTCCCATGAAATGTCTGTCCTTGGCACTTTTCTGGTTTTTTAGGGCAGGGCAAGCATTGAGCCAGAGGTAGATCTGTAGAGACCATGACTTTTACATTTTGCCAAGGACCCAGGGTTTGTTTGGGTCAAGCCCCCACCTCCTGGAGATCTGCCATGATGGTCCCTCTTACAAGGGTCTGTGTAGGCTGGCCTTGGGGCCAGAGTAGGAAAGTGGGCAGACTGATGAACCCTACCCAGGGAGGGCCTTACCACCTTGGAAGAGCTTTACAGACTAGCTTGCCAAAACCCCTTACCAGCCACCACCAGCTGGTACCTATCCAACTGCCACTTTTGCCTGCTGCCCCCAATCCCACCTCAAAGACAAAAGAGTTAAAGTGCTACGTGTATCATTTTTATAAAGTTTAGCAGGCTGACACCCACAGCACTGGAGTCACAGATGTGCGCTCCCACACTGGGCGTTTCAGGTGGGTACTGAGAATCTGAACTCAGACCCTCAGGCTTGCACAGCAGGCACCTTGCAGACTGAGCCTGTTCCCAGACCCTTTTCTAGAATTTCATAGAATGTTTAGCTATACATGTGCTGGACAGAATAATAAAGACCTCATTTCCCAGCTCTGGCTAGTGTGGTGTCAGCAGAAATAGTAGAGGTACATCGTGGCAGCCTCTGGAATTGTTTGAGAGTGTTTGCTCTTTTCCTCAATATCATCTCCATCCCTGTTTGCTGCCTGGAGTGCAGACACACCCAGTGTCACCACACTGGACCAAGAGGGCAAAACATGGGGTCCCAACAAGGGGGGCACTAGGGGAAGAGGAGTCAGCAAAGCACTAGGCTACTTCCCTGGACAACATGGGAAGGCAGGGATGAGGAGGGAAGAAACTTTAATGTGGTTGAAGTGACCGTTCTAATTCTAACTGGTATGTGACCTACATCCATACAGAAATGTAGTTTGTAGTTCCCTTTGCATTGTGCATCAGTGGAGAATATGAAGCAACTGGCTTGGCATACTCTTAGACACATCATCTACATCTGACAGGGTTTCTTTGTGTAGCCCTGGCTGTCCTGGAACTCACTGGGTAGACCAGGTGAGCCTGGAACTCAGAGTTCTGCCTGTCAAGTGCTGGGATTAAAGGTGTGGACCACATGGGGGAATCACTCCTGCAATCCAGCACTTGAGGGACTGAGGCACAAGGATTGCTGCAAGTGTGAGCTCAGCCTGGAAAAGAACAGGTCAGGGAGATGGCTCATCTGTACGCACACGTGGACCTGCGTTCAGATCCCCAGTACCCATGTGAGAAGCCTGCACAGTGCGCATCTGTGATTCCAGCGCTGGTGGTAAAGGCAGGTGGATCCCAGAGGCTCTCCGGATGATCAGGTCTGGTGGAAAAGGGAGCTCCAAGTTCAGGAGGAGACCTACACACACACACACACACACACACACACACACACACACACACACACACACACACACTGGGGAAGAGATCGAATCTCGAGTCTCTGGAATGTGCCTGTACACACATGCACACATACATCTCTAACATGCACACCCAGAGAGACAGCATGTACAGAGAGAGAGAGAGAGAGAGAGAGAGAAGAAGCAGAAGAAGTAGTAGTAGTTAATCATGGTTATACCTGTAATCCAAAGAGACAGAGACAGGAGGATCACTACAACTTTAATCCTCGCTTGTTCTACAAAAGCAAGGGTAACGTGATGAGACCCAGTCTCAACCACTTCCCCAAATATATAATGAAAACAACAACAACAAAAAGTACAAATAGAACTCTAAGAACAGACTTAGCAAACTCACTGCAAGGCTGTGGGCTTGGCAGTAACCACAGTACACAGCTCCTGGGTGTTGGGGACCAAACACAGGGCCCTGCTCCTGCTAGGCAAGTGCTCTGCCACTCAGCCACCCCAGCCTCCCATCCTTGGAACTTTTTATGAACTTGGGATAAAGATCAAGACCTTTTCCCCACCACCACAAGGGTTGTGACAGTCCTCAGGCCCCTGTTGTCTCCCCCCCCCCATCCCCAGCTACATCCCAGGCTTTTTATTAAAGAAGAAAAATGAAAGTCATAAACAAAAATAACAGGGGAACCATGAAAAATTTGAACCTGTATGACAAACTCTACACAGACACAGGAGGAACAGAGGCCAGGAAGGCCCTGTTTCCTGGTAGGCCTTGTTTAGATTCCTGCTGATTTTGCATGTGGGTGGGGATGGATGGTGTGGGGGGGGGTAGAGAGTAACATAGTCTGCTTTCTCTGTGACAATGCACCTCAGGCATCACAGTTCCCATTCAAAGAGGGAAATTTGCCACCACTGATCCACCTCTCCAATCAAACCACTGAACAGCACCCCCACCTTTTTTGGGAGGGACAGTTTCTCCTGTGTTCCATGCTAGCCTCAAATTTGTTATACAGTGGAGGATGATCTTGAACTCTGAATTGTTCTGCTTCCACCTCCCAAATGCTAGGATTATAGATGTGCCCTGTCACATATGGCTTATGCCGCTTTGGGGACAGAACTCAGGGCTTTCTGAATGCTAGGCAAGCAAGCACTCCAACAACTGGGCTGCATGCCCGTCCCATTTCTTGTCAGAGAAATGTACAAGAAACAACAGCACGCAAGAGCATACAACAAAATAAAACATTGTTAAGTCCAGCTGGGTGAGATGCCAGTTCACCTTGGAGACAAACTATGGTTTGTAAAGAAAGAAGGGAAAAGCCACTTCAGGGAGAGAAGGTGAGTGGTACCACAGCTATTCGGGGAGGGGGAGTTGGACGTGTTCTGCAGCATGGGGGTGGACCAAGTCCAGATGTGGTCTCCAGATACCTCCAGCAGTCACAAGTTTCCAAAGAGTGGAAGGACAGGGTTGTTTCTCAAGAAGACATTGGAGGTCGGAGTGGACATTCATGGGAAGTAGGGGGACAGAGGTAAACTTTGCCTTATTATCAGGAAGACCAGAGAGAATGTCGCGGAAAGGACTTGGGGAGAGCTGGATCTCGTACAGTCACTGGAAAATATTACCAAGCCCGTTGAGACGTTTGTGTACTTTTTTGAGTGGTAAGGTTGGAAAAGAAGATGAGCATGCTGTGGGAAACAAGGTCCTCTTTGCATAATGACATAACTCCAAACTCGTGGGACAGGCAGGGTGAGGATGGCAACCAATACGCTACGTAGATGGTGGAGCTCCGCTTTCCAAACTGTGCATCTTTCTCCGGTTCATCATTGCGCAAGGAGCCAAAGGCTGCCTGGCCGGACGCACCGGTCCAGCCTGGGGTTCCCGCCCTAGCTCCTGCTTAGAGCATCAGGTGGGATCCACCGGGCATAGGCAGAAGAGGCTGAGGGGGCCTCTCATGGATCTGCAGAGCATGAACCCTTAACCTGGTGGTCCCAGGGCATTTGCAGGTTCCAACAGGGACAGTCAGCTTGGAGGCGGAGCCCCAGGGCGCACGCAGCACCCCTCTGTGCTGTGCACTGAGCTAGCTTCTCAGGGACACGCAGCAGGCCTCGGGAAGCGCTCCGGGTCCCCCAGACGTGGCAGTCCGGGCCCCCCCACTTCTCGGACTACAAGTCCCAGCAGCACCCGCAGCTAGTACCTCCTGCCACGCCGCGGAGACCCCCGGTCGGTCCTAGCCACGGGGAGCCTGCTGAGCTGGGGCTGAGCCGGTTAGGGAGGCCGGTCCCGCGGGCGGGGGCGGGGCCCGCTCCGCGGCTTCTCCCGCCGCCGCCGCCAAGGGGAGTTTCCAGGAAGTGGCCATATTGGATCCATTCAGCCGCAGCCGCCCGGGCGGAGCGCGTCCCGCAACCGGCTCGTCCCCGCCGCGGCCCCGGCGCTCCCCGTAGCCCGCCCGCCCGGTGCGCAGCTCGCCATGGCGGCCACCGACCTGGAACGCATCTCGGTGAGGCCCGCGGCGCGCGGGTGCGCGGGAGGGGGCGCGAGGTGGGCTGTCAGCACCGCTCGGCGGGACCTCGAACCCGGGGACCCCTGAGCTAACCCCGGGAGGGGGTCTCGGATTGTCGGGCTTCGCGCGACGTAAGCTCCTTTTCGCGGGAAGAAGCCAAGACTTTGGGCAGGTGTGAAGACAGACTCGTGTCCAAAGGGGAGGATCCCGGACGCCCCCCGAATCTCCTTGCCCAGGGTGTTCCTGCACCTCTGGGGACTTAGCAGTGCTAGTGCTGTTAGCTGGGTGCAAAGAGTTAGGATAGAGCCCCAGGGATCCAGGGGGTCCCCCCACCCCGCAATACACACACACACACACACACACACACACACACACACACACACACACACACACACACACACAGAGCACACGAGTGCTCAGGGGAGTTGCAGACTTTAGTCCTGAAGAACCCAGGCCTGCTCATCATCTCCTTTACTGTCCCCTAGGAGCCTGGATGCAACTCCAGACAGGTCCAGGGCCTCAGTGGTAGTAGTCTGTGGGTCTGCGGCAGCCATTCTCAGGAGCTGAAGTGATTCCAGATCCAAACCACTGAGTGTTTGTTTGGGCTCCTGGCAGGGAATGCCTTCCTCTGGGCTGATGTCCCTTGGTGGTCTTAACAGGGTTGTTTGTTGACCTGAGCCAGAGCTTAGCACGTGGAGGGAGGCCTTTTGGGGGTTGTCTGCACTCCCTTGGTGTCTAAGGCTGGATTTGGGTGTGTCTGGGAGGCTAGGCTGTGACAGTGAAGGAAGCTGTGTCCTCTTGCCAGCATGTGAGGCCCTGGTCTGCTGGAAGGGGAGGAGGGGAAGGGAGGGAGGAGGTGGAGGAGGCCCAGGGCTGTTGGAGGGAGGGAGAATTCTGAATGTGTGACCGATAACGAATTGGTTCTGGGGCTAAATAAGGGAGCCAGGACTTATGTAATTATGCTATAAATATTGTCATCTGAATTTATATATGCAAATTTCTTTAATCTGAAAATACATTTGTTGGTCTTTGGGACTATGCATAATAACACAGGAGCTCTTGGTTTCATAATGTGTAGACTAGTGTGTTCTGTGCCCCTTGGGGAGGGGGGACTGTGTGTCTGTTAAGTAAGTTTGACTACATTCGGAATCTGCAGAGGCTGGGCCAAACCAAGATCCACTTCACTCCCATGGCTGTAAAATGATGGAATTTATGTACTCCAGGAAAATAGCCGAGTTCTTATAAACCTGCTGAGTCGATGGAGACCGAGAGATGTGTGTGTGTGTGTGTGTGTGTGTGTGTGTGTGTCTGCATGCCACATTTTCTGTGCCTAGCTGACCGGAAGGTTATGTCTGGGTTTGCTTTGAGGTCAGAGGCTTGTCTAACAGTTGATCTTGCACAGATGAGAGTGTGTGTAGAGCAACTGGAACCAGTGGCTGAGAGGATTCCTTGAAATGCTACTTGTTGGTCATGGGACCTCTGGCAAACACTCTGTGTTCTCATCTATGCAGCAGGAGGAAATGTCGTCTCCCTCACAGAGCTGTGTGGCTTCTGTGAAGGAATGCAGGTGAGGTGCTTGAGGTTTGTCAGGTCCATGATAAGGACTCAGTAAACCCCGTGTGTGCGATGGCAGTGGGATGTATGTGCCTGGTTGTGCCTCCGTTGGTCACTGTGTGGCCAGAGATGGTCGTCAGAGGGTCAGCTGAGTGTCTACACTGTATAGCTGAGCTTGGGAGGACCTGACTCTGCTTGCTTTTGGATCATTTCTGTGGGAAGTCTTCACATTATCCCCACAGGGCACCAGAACACAGGGAGGGGACAGGCTCAGTGCAGCTGTAGTGCTGGAATTCTGGGACCTTGCTTAGTGTGATGGTTACTATAGAGGGATGGATGCCTTCCCCGCCCTCTGCACTCTGGGCCATCAGCCTCCTGGGAGGATTTGTATGGGATTGAATTTGGGTGGAGATACTGGGTGGAGTTTGGCTGGAATTTAGAAGTCTGGTCTTTTTCCTCCCTTTCTTGTCATCCTGGGAAGGTAATTTCCTCCCTTATCTTGTGCATAACCATACTGAGTCCTTAAGGAATTTTTTGAAGGTTAACTGTAGTCTTTGGATTATTGGAGACATGTTTGGATATTTTTTCAGCTGCAAATTTTGGTGGTGCTGTGGCAGGTAGCCACTGCCCCTCTGGCTTGTGCAAAGATGGTCAGAGCAACCCTTGAGGACCTGAAAACTGTCTTAGTCTGGAGCCTACAGATCACACAGAAGGGTTTGGGCTATAGCTCAGGGGTGGAGAACTTACTGAACTTGTGTAGGAAGCCCTGGGTTCAATCCCCAGTGCTGCCTAAAAGAAAAACTGAACTCTGAGTGATGTACTTTGTGCTGGAGATCTGTTGGTATCTTGACCCACTCTTCCAGCATGCTGTGCGCACCATAGGCCTGTCTTTATTATATTTTACTTGTTATGTGTGCCTATGTGTGTGTGTATGGTGTGCAAGTGGAGGTTGGAGGACAACTTTGAGAGTCTCTCTTTCACCATATGGGTCCTGGGAATGGAATTCAGGCTGTCAGATGTGACAGCAGGTGCCCTCACCCACAGCCATCTTGCTGGCCCCACATCTTTGACCTCTGACTGGGTCCTGCTCAGCCTTGGCCAGCTCCAGCTTAGGTTGATGGCTGTTGCGTAGGTGTGTGGGGGCAGCTCTCAGCAGGTTCTGTCATCCCTTGCTCTCCCTGGGTAGTCAGACTCCTGCCACACTCTTGCTTCTTGGTCTCTGACTCTGAGGCTCACTCCCCTCCTATCCTGACCAGCTGCTCATATGACTCTCCTGTCTGCCTCTGATGGAGCAAGGTTCAGACTCCTAGGTGAGGGACCCGGTAGGTCCCAGGCAAATGAAGATGTGCGGGGGAGAGGAAAGAAACGTGAGGCTGCCTCATACTTGGCATTCTTCCCAGCCAGTCGCTTACCCCCCCCCATCTCCTCTTTATCCTCGGCACCATCTGTTACATCCGTTGTCACCCTTGTAATCTTGACACTTCCCCAACAAGCATGCTATCCAAGGAGTGCCTATTTTGTCCTCTAAAGCTAGGGATGTGGGAGGCAGCCTTCTCACCCAAATGTGGCGCAAGGCCCCTGTGCCTGGGATCTCCGTAACCTGTGTAAATGACCAGTAGCCATGCCAGGCCTTTCTGGGCAGGAACGATAGATAGCAGAACAGAAGATACCTGTGTAGCTAACTCCCACTGGCTAACGTTGAGGGGTCACATGCGAATGCGTCAGGCAAAGTCAAATCCTACACCCTTCTCTAGGAGGTGGGGTTGCCCTATCCCTCCTTCCCTATTTACCATACTAGGGAACCAACCTTACTGAGACCTTATGGGATAGATCAGAGGTATGAGTCTGGTGAGAAGGTGTTGATGACCCAAGGGAGCATTTAACTATGGACTGCTTGGGGCAGGAAGAGAGAGGATGGCAAGAACAGACTGACTGACCACAGTACCATAGAGGAGGGAGGGCAGGTGGAGGGGGAGCACTTAGGGCATGTCCTAAAGCTTTGGATGGCAGGGTGTGGGGGGGTGCGGGCAATGGATGTTTTGAGCTCATGTCTTCTGATGTCAGCAGGTTGAGGTTGGGTGAGGAAGCCAATTTTGGTCAGTCAAAGATGGGCCCAATACCCAGCTGCTAGCTTCCATCTGATGGCTCCTTGAGCTGATGGACTTTTGAGCCCTAGGATGAACTAGGTAGTGGTGTGTGTTTGGGACAGTAACTATCCCAGATGCCTTTATGGCTGAAACCCAGCTTCCTTGGGGCCATGTCCCAGCTGCAGGATGACAGAGCAAAGAAGCAAGGACTGACTGGCCTCCAGGTGTCTCTCAGGGCCTCTTCAATTTCCTACTTCTGTGCTCCCTGTAGGGTCTTGGGACTACCAGATAGCTGTATTCTACTGTGCACTAACTTTGTGGACAGCCAGACGTGGGGCTGTTAGGTAGGAGGGAGACACGTCTGCTTGGGGATGTCTCCCAGAATCAAAATGCCCTGTTCGGGGGCTGGGGTGTTCTCTATTAGCTTCTATAGGAGTTTTCGAATCCTCAGAGCTTCCTGTGGGGGAAGCCTAGCTGGACAGGGCAGGGAGCTTCTTGGTAATAACTACAGTTGCCCCGTTTGCCTGGGGGCAAATTGGTTATTCTTGGATTAGTAGCTTCCGGGTACGTAGTAGGTATTGTGACAGAGCCAAGTTAGAGGGACAGAGCCAGAGGAAGAGAAGTAAGAGTCCATCCATCTCTAGCCATGCTGTCTGGCTGTTCTCTGTGGGACCTTTTGGGTATGGGCCTCCCAGAACCTTGGCTTCAGTGGGCCTGGACCCAGAATTCTCTCCACAGGGATAAAACTGACTCTCTGCCTGCTGCTGGGGTGGATGGGCAACAGAGATGCATAGCTGTGTCTACACAGCCCCCTTTGGCCATATTGGTGCAAGAGCACCCCTCTGGTTCTTGACAGCATCACTATCCATGCGGAGGTAAATAAGGCAGGGACATTTTGGAACCCGCATTCTCCATTCAAAGGCTGGTGTTTCGTTTATGAGGAAACGGAGCCTTCTCCTTTGAGTGAGGTTGGACCACTTTGTGGCTTTCCCTATTGGCAAATAGTGGTGGCTGCCTCTAGAGTCTCCAGCCAGGTGGGGAACTGGGGCTGCTATACCTTCATCAGCAGAGCGCCCCATATGTGCTTTGGGAAGATGGGACATTTCCTCTTCCTCCCTGCAGCACATCAAAGCCTAAGAATGTGTCTATCCCAGGCCTTGTGGGTGGTGGGGACAGGCATGGGCCCAGGAACTGTGCTTTTTTCTTTTTGGTTTCTTGGAAATCTGGTTTTGATAGAACTATGGATTGAACCATCAGTTGATGAGCTTCAGCTTGACTGTAGGAAGAGGGAGAAAAGTATCTTGGATAGAAAACCAAGTACTGGGGCCTAGGGAGAATGGGGGTAGGAGTAGGGGA